ACCAGTGCAGCTACACAGTACAGTAATTCCAGTCCAGTGATGTTACACCAGTGCAGCTACACAGTACAGTAATTCCAGTCCAGTGATGTTAAACCAGTCCAGCTACACAGTGCAGTAATTCCAGTCCAGTGATGTTAAACCAGTGCAGCTACACAGTGCAGTAATGCCAGTCCAAGGTTTTACATTAGTGTAGTTACTCAGTACAATTCTAACAGTATAATGTAAAAACACATGCAGTTTAAAACGAAAATGAACTTTACAAAACATTTTAATGAAACTTCAATAAATTCTTACCCGTCGAAAAAACATACAGTGGCCTACAAAGCAAAAACAAGAAATATAAAATTAATATGGGAACTGCAATCTTTATTTGTGTACAAGATGCCTTAAGACACCGTAGAGAACCATAAGTCTAGTTTATCTGCAAGCTCATTCATTTTCGATATGTAAGAGTTTTAATACTTAAAATTATTAAAACAATTGCACTGAAAATATTATTTAAAAGTATACTGTGCATAGTATGATTTAGTTCTGAATTTAGAACCAGATAAAACCTTAAATGCAGATGAAAAGCACAGTAAACATAAAGCTAAACAATCTCATTAATCATGTACCTGATACAGCCGACACACACAGAATTCAACAATATTTTAATCCCACAGAGAGTGTTACGGGCCGTTATGTCTGTATCTGCCTCTGGATTTCTGACACTCAGGACTGACTGAAGAAACAAGCTAAATAGGTCTAAGCAAGCAGATCAATGAAGTCACCAATCAGCACTGGAGACTTGGAGCTCAGCTGGAATTAAATCCAACAGAGACGACGTTCCTGCAGGACCAGGGCTTACTGCCCTGATAAACTGGACCGAGCAGTGGATTTTGCCTTATGAGCCCGCTCGGTATCTTGAAATGCCTGCACTTTTGGAACTGGGCTTAAATTGCCTCTGAGGGTGCAAGATGAAACAAACGCCCTCAGTCTGTGCAGGCAAAAGCAGAGGAATTGCAGAACACAAAGAAATGGCTATCGACACTGTTAATATGGGTGACAAGGAAACAATGGGTACCTCTGGCCGTCTTCCTCCCAATCCACAAAGATGTCATGCCAATAAGAACAAGTAAAAGGATGGATATTAGGATGGGTACAATGACAACGAGCCAGGAAAAGCCTAAAGAAAGAGACAGAAATTAATAAAGCACAGTGACCCTGAGTGACTGACTGGACACTACAGCACAGAGACACTGACTGACTGACTGGACACTACAGCACAGAGACACTGACTGACTGGACACTACAGCACAGAGACACTGACTGACTGACTGGACACTACAGCACAGCGACACTGACTGACTGACTGGACACTACAGCACAGAGACACTGACTGACTGGACACTACAGCACAGTGACACTGACTGACTGACTGGACACTAC